ATGGTCAGATGATGAAGGACAAAAGGTCAACCTTTTGTGTTAAGTCATATCCCTGTTAATCTTTGGGGAAGAGATGTGCTTCAGACCATGGGAGTGGTCCTTACTACTGAGCCCATTAAAAATATGCTGGCTGACCAAAGTTATGTACAAGGAAGAGGACTGGGTAAATTCCTCCAAGGTGACCCTCCGTCTGTTGCATCCAAAAATTTAATCATCAAAAGAGCTGGAGATCGCTCTGGGTTGGGAAATTTTCCTTACGGGCTATTGCTGTGCAGCCTGTTCCCATTCCTATTATCTGGAAAACTGCTAACCCAGTATGGGTGGGGCAATGGCCCTTATCTATTAAGAAATTACAGGCTGCACATCAACTTGTAAAGGAACAATTAGAGGCAGAACATATTGCTCCTTCCACTTCCCCATGGAATACTCCAAACTTTGTTATAAAGAAAAAATCTGGAAAATGGAGATTCCTACAAGATCTCCGAGCTGTTAATGATTGCACGCAAATTATGGGAGCCACACAACCTGGCTTACCTTCCCCTGTAGGTATTCCTCAAGGCTATCGTTTATTAGTTATAGACCTAAAAGATTGCTTTTTTAGCATTTCCTTGCATCCTCGGAATAGTGAGTGATTTGTATTTAACATTCCTTCTATTAATTTTAAAGAGCCCTATAAGAGATATCAATGGGTGGTGTTGCCTCAAGGAATGGCCAATAGTCCCACTATTTGTAAAATTTATGTATCTTTGGCCATTGCCCCCATTAGAGAGAAATTTCAATCCCTGTATATTATACATTATATGGATGATATTCTTTTAGCCGGCCTAGATCCTAAGGAAGTGAATGAGGCTTTTGGGGAATTGCAATATAATCTTCAGCTAGCTGGCTTAAGAATAGCCCCAGAAAAGATGCAACAAGAATTTCCCTATCAATACCTGGGTCATCAATTGTTATATTCTGGTACTTGTCCTCAAAAGATTACTTTAAGCCTGGATAGACTGACCACCCTTAATGATTTTCAAAAACTATTGGGAGATATAAATTGGGTTCAATCTAGTTTGGCCCTAACCACTGGACAGCTTAGACCCTTATTTGATATTTTACAAGGAGATTCTGATCCCACTTCTCAGCACACCTTAACGCCTGCTGCGCAAGAATGCATACAGCTTGTGCAAAATGCCTCCATTCTGCACATTTAAATTATATTGACTATTCTCAAAACTTGATGCTATTAGTTTTTGCTTCAGGGTATTCCCCTACCGAGGTACTTTGGCAAACTGGTCCTATATTATGGGTGCATGAACATGCATTCCCCAGGAAAGACAGTTAGATCTTATCCTCAGGCAATGCTTTGTATTATTCAAAAGGCACACAAAATGAGTCTTCAAGTTTTTGGCAAGATCCCAGATGTAATTGTTACTCCCTATACTCAACAACAGATACAATGGCTCAACTTGATGAGAATTGGGCACATTTCTTGTGTTCCACACCTTGGAGTTAACCCCCGGGGAGTCACGACTAATGATATCTGGTAGATGGATGTTAGCGATGTTGCTTACTTTGGCCTACATGAAAATTTGTTCATGTATCTGTGGATACTTATTCTCATCTCATATTTGCCTCTGCCCATACTGGAGAAAGGCTTAAGGATGTTAATAGCCATTTTTTTTACAAGCCTTTGCTTATATGGGAATGCCCAGACAATTAAAAAAAAACTGATAATGATACTAGTCAGGGTTTCAACTCCTTTTGCAAAATTTTTTTTATCTCACATAAGATGGGCATCCCTTACAATCCTCAGGGTCAGGCCATGGTGGAGCATGCACATCGCACAATTAAAGCCTATCTTCATAAAACCAAAAAGAGGGAGTTTACAGGGCCTCCTCATAATCACCTTTGTCCTTTATATTTTAAATTTTTTAACTATTGATGGTGCTGCTATAAATTTACACTTTGACCCAAAGGACAAGAATTTCACCTTCATCTCAGGCCCTTGTATTCTGGTTCCCTTCTTTTTGTTGTAACCAATGCTACTAATTTTGGAGAAAGTTTCAATTTTTCTCAGCAGTCTGCCAACTGGTTAGCTTCTGGACATATGAAGTAACAGCTGTTGTGGGCCATGTACCCTAGGTGTGCAGCAGAGAGGAAAGGAGATTCCGGGATCACGGCTGCCAGTGCTGCCTCCACCACTGAAGCAACAGTTTCTAGGACAGCCCTCTCCCAATCTGTAAATACAGCAAGCACAGTGGGTCAACTATCAGGTGATTTGGCTGTAGCCTTAGACACCCAAAACACACTTGTTATCTAGCACAAATTGGCATTTTTAAACTAAATTTACAAACTAGCCTCCTATATGAACACTTGAATTTTTTTGTGAGAAGCTCATATGGCTTCTTGTTCTCTGTCTTTCACACATATCTGTGTCAATGCATCATTTTTCTCCAGGAATCCTGGAGTGGTCAGTTTTTAAATTATACACGTGCTTTAGCCATGCAGACCATTAACATCAATGAAACCTGAGTGCCACCTGCCAGTGCAGAAGACCTTTTACAAGGACTTCAACTTACGGGCAGATTATTGGGGTTCGTAGCCCTTGCACTTGGTGCTACTTCGCCACAGCATTAGACAGGCCCAGGCCAACTTTCAAACAAGACAGATTCTACTGTCTTTGGCTCAAGAGAAAATGCCTCTGCCACATGTGGCTGACAAACTATTCACCAGAGACAGGTAAGGCAGAAGGGGGCAAATATCCAACCTAAGACAGGAAGGTTATGGACCTGGGTGACCTCTCCAATGATGGGTAAGGAATTTTGCTGACGTCCTCTGCCATCTAAGGCAGGTGTTACTTTATATTAAAAGGGGGACCTGTAGGTCCCTGCATGGGCCCCCGAGGCGCCTTGAGCAAGCCTGAAGCTATTGGCCAGAACTCCTTGCCCCAAGGCTGTTGTTGGTACTCTTCCCGTTTTGATAACACCTTGTGACAATACATACCTGGTGGGGAGAAGCTAAGCCTAAAATTCCTGTAATTTTCCACTATGCTGTAAGTCAGCATTTAAGCCCGTTCCATCCTTCAATAAATGGCATTCGGCATTCCGATGTTGCCATTGAACAAATGACCCGCTGACTTGTGTCTTTATTTCAATCTCTAGACCTTCACCCGATTCATGGAACAGATCGTAGCGCAGACGCTACAGGTCCCCTTCCTCTTCCAACATCTGGAGGCTCCCAGGAATCTCCAGTGGTCCTTGACTTGAGACTTATCTATTGTTGTAGACTCTGGCTCTTCTCTGAGCTATCCAGTTGTCTTATGACAGGGTCTCAAATAGCCCAGGCTAACCTCAAGCTCATCCTCTAACCAAGGTTAGCCTTGAATTCCTGATCCCATGCCTCCACCTCCCAAGTACTGGGATGACAAGTATGAGCTACCATACCAAGCCCCCTTGTGTCTTGGCTTGGTTTTGTGGTCTGAGTCACTACACAAGGACCCTCCCTGCTCCAGTGAAACACCTCAATCCACAGCACCTACTTCCTTTTTGTTTCTTATTTTCTGTGTTTGCTCATTTTGAGACAGCTCTAGAACTCCCTATGTAGACCAGGCTAACCTCCAATTCACAAGTTATCCATCCTCGGCTTCCTGGATACAGGGATTAAAGGTGTGGACCACCATGCCCAGATTCTTTTTCTTTGGGCATGTAGCCCAGGCTGGCCTACAATTCTTGGTAATCCTCCTGCTTCAGCTTCCTTAATGCTGGGCTTACAGATGTGCTCCACCATTCTCAGCTGAACTCACTTCCAAAAAAGGTCCTATTTGTAGATCCCTAAGGCAAAAATATTGGAGGACTCAACCCAGACCAGGGAAGAGGGAAGTGACACTGTGGATCAAGGTGGGCAAACAGGACACTTTGAAAGACACAAACACACCAGCATTCTGGCCTAGGACATACACAAAATGGCATTCTGGGATCACTCATCTCATAATCGTGGTGGGCGTGACAGCAGACTAGGGTGCCTGCCTATGGTGAACATCACACACAGCTTGATTTAAAGTGGTTGATCAAACTGCACACACAGAAGCAGATGCTTGGAAAGGAGATAAAATGTCTGTCCGCAGTGACAGGTGAAGAAAATGTGAGAGACCATCCCTTACAATGCATCCCTTGCAAAGGTCACAATAATAACCCGGTGGGGGTGGGCGATTGGAGGCTGGCGCTCAGTGGATTCAGATCTCGCCTAGCATAATTAAGGCTTTGAGTTCTAGCCTCAGCACCATATAGACGGGATGTGGTAGTGCATGACTGTTGCACGAACATTTACAAAGTGGAGGCAAGAGGGTCGGATATTCAAGGTCATCCTCTGCTATATAGTGACCAGGCCAGCCTGAGCCACAGGAGACCCTATTTCAAAAACAAAACAAAGAATAAAGTTCCGGGAGTGGTGGCACACATCTAGCATCCCAATATCTGGGAAGTTGATGAGGCAGAATGGTGGTGGCTCGCAGTTGGAAACAAAATCCCATCCCCAAATTGCTACCCCCCTCACCCCTGCCAAAATAAAAGAGATAAACATAGCCAGGGCCATTCACTTCATGAGTTCTGATGTCGAATCTGGAACCCTGAGCCCTGAGCTTAAGATTCCACGCTCCAATCAACGTCTTTGCGTCCCCACTATATCGCTGCAAAGTCGCTTTTCCCTGAGGCTCCGAGAGCGAGGGGTCCTCTGCTCCCTGGTCCTCACCTTATGGACTCTCACTCAACAGCACAGGGGGCTAGCCTGCGCATGCGTGTGTCCTCTCCCCACCTGCGCCCTCTCCCCGCCCCTCCCCACGTGATGCCGTGGGAACCCGGACCCCAGCGCCTGCGGGCGGGGGCGGCCCAGAAGCACGCACTGGCGACGGGGTTCCAGGTTGATGGGGAGAGGTCACTTGGCTCTCGAGGTCCGGGTGATCAAACTGGAGAGGTTCCCGACCCCGGCGTGCCGGGAAGGAGGGTGGACGCACTCACCCGCACGATGTAGGAGACCCCGGGCCCCAGGACCCTGGCGTCGGGGTGCAGCCAGCCGTGCGCCGGCTTGTGGATGAAGCCGCCCTTGCGCGCCCACTCGTCGGCAACGTCAGGGGTCCCCCGCGCTCCCCGCGTCCCCGAGCCCCGGCAGCGGCCGAGAGCGGGCAGAGGGCAGGGCGCGGCGCAGCGCGGTTCGCAGGCGCCCAGCACAGCGGCCAGCGCTGGGACCCCGGGTCCGGGCTGCGCTTCTGCCGCCCCCGCCGCGCGCGTCGCCGCCGGACCGCGACCCAGGAAGCCGCCGGGCGCCGCGAACTTCCATTGCGGCATGCGCGGCAGCAGCGCGCAGAAGGTCGTGGGCGCCTCGGGCTCCGGGGCCGCGCGGCCACCCGGACCCTGCGTCATGGCCGCGGCCGCCGAGGAGCCCCGGCTGAGCCTGGCGCCGAGCCGCGCGCTCCTCCCCGCCGGGTGATGTCACCGCTTCGCGCAGCGCGCAGCCGCGGGGGGCTGCGCTCCTGGGACCCCAGCCCTGCGCTGGAGGCGCTGCGTCCGACCCCGCACGGGCTGCTGAGGTTCCTGTAGGGGCTGTCCAGTCTTCCTCTGACCCGTGGGGAAACTGAGGCTAAGGATTGCAGACGGGAGGCAGGGCGCGATCCTGCAACCTTAAAGTCCCTCTTTGCCCCCCCCCCCGCTCCAGCACCATCCTACCCTGCCTTGTTCTAAATGGAGAAACTGAGGCCTGGGTAGCCGGTGTGGGGCATCATTGTCCAACCCCGAGGTCCCCCGTCACCATTCCAGCAACAACCTGCTCTTCTTTCCTTCTAAACTGGGAAACTGAGGCCTGGCTTTGTAGAGGCATCCTCTGATCCCTGCGTGCCCCCTAAGCCACTGTCCCAACCGGACCGTGCTTTCTTTACTGAGTAGGGACGCTGAAGCCGAGGCAGGGCAATAGCTCAATTGGGGAAACTGAGGGTTAGGGTAGGGAGAAGCACAGTTGGGGAATTGAGGTCTTGGGTGACAGAGGCATATGAGAGGGTCCCAGTGGTCGACACTGTTCCAGCCGTATCCTACCCAACTTTACTTCTAAATAAGGCCTGGAGTAGGGCAGAGGCTGGGATCCAGGACTAGAGAACCTCGAACTCAGAAGTTTCCCACGCACACACACCTCCACCTGGAACTTGCCCTATTTTACTGTTTGGTGGGGAAATGGAGGCCTGGAAGTGAATCAGTGCCCAGAACACAGCAGGTGGGGCTGCGTCTGGAAGGGTCTGCGAGTAAACACAGGCAGCCTCTGCTGGCTCCTGGCCTGTTTCCCAGACTCTAAGTCAAGGACATCCATCGGTTCTTACGGGATCCAATAAGAATCCGATGACCAGAACTCTGGGGCCTGCCACCAGTCCTATCCCAGGCTCAAGGGATCTCTGAGATGCCTCCCTCAGACCCCAAGGGGATTCCTTCTGTGAGGGGAAGGAGTTGTCCTTATCACCCTGCTTCTGTCCCTCCTCCTCTCCCCGGTTCTCTGGCCCTACCTAGGACAGTCTTGCCGGGAAACAAAGAGAAGAGGGCTGGGCGGGGCAGGGTGCGGAGGAGGGGCAAGGCCAGCCAGATCGATGATGAGAGAAACTAGATCACTGCCTGGGGGTAGGGGGTTTGCGCTTGCGCAAGGACGCTCAGCAACATCAACACAGGCATACCACAGAGCCCCGGGTGCTCTCCGACCAAGGAGCAATGTTGCTGGGCTGAGGTCTGTGAAGGGGACTGTGGGATCTGGTTGTGTCAAGTATGGACCATGTCATTCTAGGTCTGAACGGCTATCTTATGTCTCCCCATTTGAATGGGGAGGTTATAGGGAGAGCTGACGCTACCCTTTTAATCCACAGTACAAATGACAGTAAATCATACTCTAACACTTTAAGCTCCTATACATCCCTCAAGGCCCAGCTTCACAGTACCCATTCCCAAGACCCTAGCTGGTCCCACAATCCAAATCCAGGCTCTTAACTGGCCTCCTGATGCAAGGATCTCCCATTTGCCATCTGAACTGGAAGAGGTTTGTAGATTTGTGGGTCTGGCCCTGGAAAGCAATGTTTAGTGTTCATTTGTGGTGTAACTGGAAGTGCTAAATAAACCAATGTGCACAATGCTGACAGCTGTCGGTGGAGGAGTGATTTATTGGCAAGCAACTCTAGAAGGTAGGGCAGGGAGGGCAGAGAGTCAGGGCCACCTCCAGATTTCTCCTGTCTCATCTGCTGAAACTCAAGTGGCCTAGACGCTGAATTCTAGGACACACAGGCAAAGGCCACTTCTCCCTGGCCTGGCCTGGCCTGGCCTGACCTGGGAAAGGAAACTGGGACCTTGGAGGGAGGCTCCACCCTCACCCGGGATGGGGCCTAGGGTCACAGGCTCCAGGGACAAAAAAACCAAGCAGCCTCAAAGAACCTCGGACTGCTGAAGCAGAGGGAGGTACCTCTTCTGCCCCGTTCTGAAGAAAGTAGGCCCAGGAAGGCCCTAGCTGCCTGTATCCAGAGCCATCAGCATTTGGTGTCCCCTGCCATGGTTGATGCCGGCTTTGAGAGACGGATGCCCATGCTGTATGCTGGGGCCCGGGCCCGGTTCACAGTGACCTGTTCTGGGTTGTGGGTACCAGGACCAGGTGTCTCCTCCAGGGGCCGTGGGGTTCGGGGTCTCCCCAGTATGCTGAAGGCGGGCCTACGCTGCCGGTAGGTGTTGGGGTCAGGACTGTCATACTGCCCAGGGCCCGGAATCTCTGAGGGATCCTGAGGGGGGCGCACTGGGGGCGTGCGGCCCACAACTGTGTAGCTGGGACTGCTAGGTTTGATAAAGATTTGTGATCCCCAGAGGGGTGGCATGGTGTAGGCATTGGGGGCAGGAACAGAGGTGTCAGGGGGCTTCTGTCGGAGGCGGGAGCCCAGAGTGAAAGCCGGGGGGTTCCGCTGGCGTACCGGAGGCACCTTCTCTGGGCTGTAGGCCCCAGGGCCTGGTGTCACCTCCAGACCTGGAGGGTGAATGAGCATTGGGACAAGATGGAGGCCTCACTTGATCTGCATCAGAGGTCACACAGACCCAGTCTCTACCCAGCTGCATTCTTCACACATGTATTCTTTGCCTGATACTCCCATACCCTGCACCAAGCCACCACCCTCCTCCAACCACCCACAGCCCAACCACACACCTCCTCCTTCCCACACCCACCACATGGTACCTTCTACCCCTCCAGAGCTCAAGACTACCTGGATCATCCTCTCTAAGATCTGGGCACCCTGAGATGGACCTATAGGTGGGCCTGAGCCCACCAGGAAGTTCAGCAAAGATGTCTAAGCTGCTGATTTCGTGTATTTGATGCAGCATTAGTGTGACTATAGAGCTGGGGCAGGGCAGTGAGAGAAGGTTGAGCAGAGCCACGGGGCACAGGGAGATAGATGAGTGGAGTGGGTGAGTAGGAAGATAGTGGGTGGGTGAATGGGTGGATGGATGGATGGATGGATGGATGGATGAACATAGGATGGATGGATGGATGAACATAGAATGGATGGATGAATGGATGGATGAACATAGAATAGATGGATGGATGGATGAACATTGGATGGATGGATGGATGGACATAGGATGGTTGGATGGATGGACATAGGATGGATGGATGAATATAGAATTGATGGATGGATGGATGGATGGATGGATGGACATAGGATGGATGGATGCATGCATGCATGAACATAGGATGGATGGATGGATGAACATAGAATGGTTGGATGAATGGATGGATGAACATAGAATAGATGGATGGATGGATGAACATTGGATGGATGGACATAGGATGGTTGGATGGATGGATGGATGAATATAGAATTGATGGATGGATGGATAGATGGACATAGGATGGATGGATGCATGCATGCATGAACATAGGATGGATGGATGGATGAATATAGAATTAATGGATGGATGGATGGATGGATGGGTGAACATAGGATGGATGGATGAATGGATGGATGAACATAGAATAGATGGATGGATGAATGAACATAGGATGGATGGATGGATGGATAGATGGATGAACATAGGATGGATAGATGGATGGATGGGTGGGTAGGTGGGTGGACAGATGGGTGGATGAATTGATACATGTGCAGAGAATAAAACCAAGTTTCTGAACATTTCTCTAGGACCAAGAAGGGGTCAGAGTCAGGCCTCCCTGCCCATTGGAAGCAGGGGTCCACCATGTGCTGCCACCTCTGCTCAAGGCTGTGGGACTGGAGTAGTGACCCTTCATCTGAAACTTGGATTTATCTTTGCAGACACTGAAGTTCTCAGAGCTCCAATCATGCAGGAAGTGGACTGTCTCCAAGGTCATTTCCCACCACACACACACCATACTCACCTCGAATCTTGCCCCGGCCCTGCATGGAGTAGGCAGGGGGACAGCTACGGCCAAAGCGGGTAACTTTGGGGTCCAAGAAGTAGACAGGTCCTGGGCTGCAATCCTGAAGAGGTGCTGGAGAAAGGACCCAGAATCCCAAAGGCGTCCTGAGCTAAGGGCTCCCCACACCTAGCCCAGGGCCTCCATGGAGCCTGAGGTGTGTCTCAACCTTGGAGTCAGCCTGGGCAATGCTGAGGCCCCTGAGAGGGATCAAGCAGAGGGACTGTGTGGGGCATGCCAATCCCAGCAGAGCTTTGGCTCACAAGGAGTCACCCTGAGTCACCCTTGAGGTGGCTCAGTCTGCCTTTCACAGCAACATGGAAGGAAGAGGTCACTGAGGCCATGGCTGGTCACCATTCTCACAGTTGTATATGTGGGAATGGCTCTCAGGCCCTCAGAAATGGAAGTCTTGAGCTCTCCCTCTGACCCACACCCCAGACCTCCACTGGGGGATGGATTCTAGGCAAGGACTCCACCCCTGACCACACTCCAAGCCCCTCACTGGGGGATTCTAGATAGGGCTCCATCCCTTTTTACTTAAACCCATGATCCTCCTGCCTCAGCTTTTGGATTGCCAAAATGAGAGGTCTGTACCAGCATGCCTGGCCTGATCAGTAATTGTTGGACTTCAGGCACACGATTATGTGCATGGTGAGTGTCTGAGTGCATGGCAAGCATTGGTGGGCAGGCCCATGCTGGGCCCTGCCTGTGAGTGATAAGCCTCACTGAGTCTTTCTCAAAGCCTCAGTGAGCCCCAGCATGTGTGTAAGGACCACACAGGTGTGGGCTGCTGTGCACACCCACACAGGCAGCATTGGCATTGCCACCTCTACGGTGATCACTAATGTTAAACGATGGCCCTCAGAAACACCTCCACACCCGCTATCCCCTAACTCAGAGCTAATCTAAAAAACTCTCAGGACAAGAGGGGCTGGGGTCACAGTCACCAGCATGTGCTGGGACGCACACAGGAAGATGTCACCTCAGCCAGCCTGTGGCAAACAAGACTGTCAGTGCTCAACCCTGCTCTGCATGGGCAAACCTCCTTCACATTTTCCTACCCAATGTGTGTGATGAGAGAATCCAGCTTGCCCACCAGGACCTATCCCACCCATCCTGCAGGCGGCACCTAAGCGTGTCCCACCTGATGACCCTCAGGCTGCACCTGATGCTCTCTTCTCCTGGGTCCCCCTTCACTGAACTTGGTTTTTTTGTTTTTGGGTTTTTTTGTTTGTTTGGTTGGTTGGTTGGTTGGTTGGTTTTGTGTTTTGTTTTGGTTTTTCGAGACAGGGTATCTCTGTATTGTTTTGGAGCTCGTCCTGGAACTCACTCTGTAGACCAGGCTGGCCTGGAACTTAGAGATCTGCCTGCCTCTGCCTCCTGAGTCCTAGGATTAAAGGTGTGCACCAACACACTAAGACTTCATTTTAAATTTTAAATGTAGGGGAGGGTTTGTGCACTGTGGCTGCAGGGCCCGCACAGGCCAGAAGACAGTATCAGATACCTCTAGAGGTGGGTTTACAGGAGGTTGTGAGCCACGCTGTGCAAGAACAGCAAGAACCATCAAGAGCTGAGCCACCTTTTCAGTCCCATCCCACCACAACCATATTGACCCCCCCAGAGCCCACATCCCACTCACTGCCACTTCCTACAGCCCACCCAGAGCCCTCTCCTATCCCAGGTTGGTGAGAGGCTCAGTGGATTCCCCAGCCTTCCATCTCATGGCTTCTAACTTTTTTATAGCAGGGCCTCCGTCCAGCCCGATGGGACCTTAGAACAGCTTTAGGACCCAGCACTAGGACTAAAGGCTGCTATGTTCAGCCAATATCACTTGCCATGGAGCTTAGATGCCACATACTGCAGAATGTCCGAGAGAGGGAGGGGCCCATGCCTGCTCACCTGCATCTCTGCCAAGCACTAGAGACCAGCCTACACTCGGAACAACAGACACACTCATACACTTTGAGTGCTTTTTAAATCAAGCCTAGGGCCTTACACAAGGTAGGCATATACTCTACTCACTGAGCTACACCCTGTACCCTAGCCACCCAATCCTTGTTGGCCCATCAAAATCTTGGTGTCTGGTCAGATGTGATGATATACATCTGTGATCCCAGAATTTGGGAGGTGGAGGCAGGAAGATAAGGAGTTCAGAGCCAGTCTGAGCTACACGAGAAGGCAACAACTTACCCAACATAGCACAGCAACTGATAGGGAGACCATGCCTGCCTGCCCTGCCTTGCTCACCCTGAGGTCTCCTTCAGGACAACTCTGGAGACCCAAGGAGGTACCCTGTACCCCTCATCTGGCCTTACCTTCACAGAGCCTCCGAGCAAGTGAGTAAGCGGGGCTGGCTGCCTTGGTGCGATCGTGGTTGACATAGCCAATGGTAGATGGAAGAACATACAAGCCAGGTCCGGAGCCTGAGACCCAAAGACCAGACCAGAGATGGTGTCTGGAACCTTTTGAGGCTGGGAAAAGCCCCACCCTGGACCCCCAGCAGAGTAGGGACAGGAGTCCTGGAGGGCATTGTGAGCTAGTGATGAGTCCCAGGGCTGTAGCGACTTGGGAAGAAGAGAGCAAGGAAGACAGGAAACTAATGCCAGGGTCAAAAACCATCACTGGTGGAGAAATAGGCCTGGGACAAAGCAAGTGTCTCACAGGAGGTTATTAAAGCTGAAGGCACAGATCCTGTCACAGGTGGGGAAACAGGCAGAGAGACTCATCATGAGAAGGGAAACAGGTCAGCGCAGACAGGCTCACAAGAGAGGAAACTAAGACCAGAGGATAGAGACCACCACAGCTAGAGAAACGGAAGCAGCTAGGGATAATAGAAACCATCAAGGGAGGAAAGCTGAGCCCAGGACAGAAAGATCATCCTGGAGGAGAAACTGAGGCCAGTCACAGAAAAACACTACCTCTGATCCCACTGTCCATCCTAGGATGGGAAACTGAGGTACAGGCTACAGCCTGAGTCCCCCACAAATGTCTCCCCTGCTGAGCTCCCAGCCTCAGCCCCTTCACACACGCCAAAGCTCTGCAGTCCCCACAGGAACCCTCCCTCTGACTTCCTCCCTCAGGTTCTCTCCTACTGTGTTCAACCTGTCCTCCTGTTGGGCAAGTGTTCCCACAGGGGACATGGGCCTTCTTGCAGATACTCCTCTCCTGAACTCTAGAGCATCCCAGGAGCCCCCAGAAGGGTGACAAGAGGAGCCCTCCCTGACCAGGCCAGCACGAACCATTCTCCAGGGAGGCCATTCCACAAGACTTCCTCAGCCCAGTCTCCGGAATGTGGCCCTCGGCCACCCGCCTGGCCAGAGGCACTGTGGCCAGCCTGACTGTTGAGTCGCAGCTGAGGGTCCCCATGTTGAGCGGGGCTGGTGTGGGCTCCTGTGCCCTGCTGTTCTGGTGCCACGAACCAGGCACAGTCCCCAATCCTCACAGCTCAGCCAGTGTGTTGGCAGAGGCCTGGCCTCACCACACCCTCCCACCACACACACAGACAGCCCCTTGTCCCTATGCAAGGATCTCGGGGCCTGGCCCGAGCCAGGCTGTTCGGCCGGACGCTGGCCTGGAAGTGGAACTAAGATCAAGTGTCAGCCAGGTGGCTGGATGGCCCAGGAAAGACTCCAGTGTCAGCCGAACAGGTCCCCAGGGAGCCGGTTGAGCTGGGCCACGGGGCCAGAGCAGGCCCCAGGGACTGCAAACAGGACACCAGCAGCAGCATGGATGAAGGGTTCAGCGCCCCATTTCCACAGAGCCCAGGGTTGTGGACAGCACGTCCCCAACTCAGCCCAGTGCTCATTGGTACCAAGCACCTGATGTATCCCAGACTCTGTTTAGGGTGGTGTGAACAAAACAGGAACAGACTGGTAAAGGGCCAGTATGTTCTTGGGGTGGGATAGTAGCTAAACAATAAGTGTAGCAGATTGTTCTGGTATGACCCATATTGAGAAGGAAGACCATGTCAGGATAAGAGGACCAGTTATGCAAAGGTCGTGAGGCAGGGCTGAGGACAGCAGTCCAGAATAGTTCTGTGCCTTCACCTTTACTGAAGGCTACCACTGTGTTCCAGCTGGAGAGTTCTGGGAAGGTTAGTGGATTGAAAGGCAAACATATTTCTTCCCATTTGTTTCTATGTTGCTGGGCATTTATTTTTTAAAGTAGTGACCTGGGGTTTTGCTTTGTATTGTTTTGTTTGAGACAAGGACTCACAATGTAGCCCAGGTTGGTCTTGAACTCCTGATCCTCCTGCCTCAGCCTCCCTGGTGCTAGGATCTCATTCAAGAGAGGTGACAGAGCACCACTCTCTTCTATGGTCACACATGGAAATGAGTCTCAGGGTCCCTCAGGAACACACCAGCAGGCCTGAGCCCTGGATGCTCTGACATATTCCACATCAGCCATTTTGGGTTCTAGCTCCAGCTTGACTCTCTGGGTCCTGTTGGTCCCTGAAGCCTTAGATAGGAGCCAGGGGTCTCAGAGTGGTCCACAAGTCATATGTGCATGCCCTTGTCCTCTTGGACTTCTGTGTGCAGCTCCATTCTGGCCACATGAGATTAGATGGCTGATCCTGGAGCCCCCAAGACACCTCCACCCCAAGTCCTCCCATGGTAGGAGTCCTCCATCAACCAACCAGTTGTAAGAGCTCACAGCTCGCTCACTCTTCAGTCATCTGGGCCCTTGGCCTGCCAGCTCCTATCATGCAGCACTCTGCTCCAGACCACAACAGTCTTGGTAGTAAGGAACAAGGACTTGCCTATCCTGAGCTCACTATGCCAGAAATCCTACACAAACACACTCATGTCTTTTTGCAGTGTCAGAAAATGCTGAATAGCAATAAATTTACAATGTTGTGTGGTTTCAATGACAACAATTTGTCATATATCCACCTACCCCAGGAGCCTCCCTGGGGCTAATGCAGGCTCTTTTTAACTCTCATGTCACACAGCACATACTGAATTTCTTTTCTTTTTTTTTTTTTTTTTTTTTTTTTTCCAGACAGGGTTTCTCTGTGTAACAGCTCTGGCTGTCCTGGAACTCACTTTGTAGATCAAGCTGGCCTCAACTCCACAAGATGCTCCACCTCTGCTCCCCAATGCTGGGATTAAAGGCATGCACCACCACTGCCTGGCCCACCTATACTTCTTTTTTTTTAATGATTTATTTAAATTTATTTCATGTGCATTGATGTGAAGGTGTCAGGTCCCCAGGAACTGGAGTTACAGATAGGTGTGAGCTGCCATATGGGTGCTGAGAATTGAACCCATGTCCACTGGAAGAGCAGCCAGTATTGAGCCATTTCTCCAGCCCCCACCTATATTTCTATAGGTGTACGTATAGATGGGCTACAGAATAGATACAAATTATGCTGCGGGGAGGCGGCTCGTGCCTTTAGTCCCAGCATTCAGGAAACAGAAGCAGAGGGATCTGTGAGTTCAAGTCCAGCCTGGTCTACAGAGTGAATTCCAGGACAGCCAGGACTACACAGAGAAACCCTGTCTTGAAAAACAAACAAAAGTTAGAGCAGCTGTTCCAGAGGTGTGGGGAGCTGAGAAAGAGTCTATATTAAAAGATAATGAACAAGACCAAAGCCAGGAGGGGCCACTGGGGTCAGGGTTCAAGGGTGAAGCTGCAATGTTCTGTTACAAGGTAAAAGACCAAACTGAGTCTGAAGTAGAGAACAGCAGGTTCGAATCCTGGTCCAGATGGGCAAACAGGTAGTTGGCAGGCAATCCAATAGATAGTGTCAACAAACTGAGCCAATGCACCAGGAACAATTAGGGAGTCCACAGCTTGTTGGTCCCTGACACACACACCACAGATGGTGAATGAATTGGTGTGTAGCCATGCCACCAGTGTCCATTACTTTCTGGGACCCAGGTGAAGGAGTTACACCTTTCCTTGGTTGGATGTGTCTGGTAAATTCCTGATCCTGGTTTACCTGATGTAATTTTAATATGCCCATGTGTCAATCTCAATTGACCTCAATAAACGTAGAGTGACTCCTTTTCTACTGCCCGGAATACTTCATGTGTCAACCTTGAATTACCCACGAAGATGGTGCAGCTTCTTTCCCTCAGGACAAAGTCAAGGGCTGCCTGTAAAATGGATGATGGTGGAATCACCTAGAGCAATGCACAGTGCGGGGTGGAGGTTATACAATATGGTGTAACTTAGGATAGGGTTCAGCCTAAAGGACAGAGGCCCAGTCTGCCTCCCTACCAGTATGAAAGGCAGGAAGATCCACTGCCTGACATCAGCCATGGACCCAGAGCCAGGCAGAGAGAGAGGACCATGCCTGAGAAGTTCTCTGAGCCATCCAAGGCCATCTTCTGGGCCCAGGTCCTGAGAAACCTGATGTGCAGGAATCCAAAGCTCAACCCTGAGTGTCTGTTTCTCCATGGGGCCAAGGGAAGGAAGTTTAGGAAGGCTTTGGGGTGAGGAAGGGGTCTGTATGAATGGAGGGAGGGAGGGGAGAAAGAGACAAAGAGACTATGGGACAAGTATGAAAGGTTTAGTCTGGACAGGAAAGACTGGTCCCCTGGTACAGGGCAAGGGAAGGCTTGAGTGCTCCTGGGTTCCGGAACCCACTGCACAGGGTACTCACGAGTGCCCCCTGGTGGATGACTGGAGAAGAGGCCCAACATGCCTGTATGGGTCTGTGGAGATATACTAGGAAGAAAAGATGGGGAGGGGACATGAGGAAAAGACTGGTGAAAGCAGATAAGAAGGAATGGATAAGTGGTGGATGGGTGGAGAGTGATGGAGAATGGTGGGGGACGGTGGAGGTGGTGGAGGAGGGTGGAGGTAGAGGATGGTGAGAAGGATGTTGGGAGGATGGTGGAGGATGGTGAGTATTTGATGGAGGATCGGGAAGGATGGTGGATGGTGGAGGATGGAGAGGATGGTGGAGCGTGGTGACAAGAGGTTGGAAGATGATGGAGGATGATGGAGGACGGTAGAAGGATGGTGGAGGATGGTTTCGGGAGGATGGTGGAGAGTAGCAGGAAGGTGGTAGGAGGAGGTGTGAGATAGTTGAGGATGGTGACAACTGACACCACTATTTTATTTTCTATCTTTATTTTTCAAGACAGAGTTTCTCTGTGTAACAGTCCTGGCTATCCTGGAACTCACTTTGTAGGCCAGACTGGCCGGGAACTCACAGAGATCCACCAGACTCTGCCTCCTGAGTGCTGGGATTAAAGACGTGCACCACCACCCTGCAGAAATGAGAGACTTAAAGGAAGACTAAATATGAAATGGAATAAAGATGCTGGTATATCCTCAAGGTGAAACCCCACTCAGCTAGTCCTGCAACCTGTGAAAGGGAAAAATTGTGTTAAGTGTAATTTATGGAGGGGAGATAGGTTCTAGCCCCAACAGACAGCAGAATTTGGCTTGGCTTTGTCAAAAAGGATACAGGAGTAAAGGGGCTGTGGAATCTTCCTCTGCAGTTAAGGAATGCTGCTGAGGCCTGGTGTCCCTGGGGGAGTCCCTTCATGGAGGCCTGGAGAGACCATTGCATGAAGCTGATGAAGCTTGGATTGCTTTGGAGACTCCAAGATGCTGGGTATGCCAGAGCTATAGGACACTGGCCAACTAGAGCAGCAGACAGGCTTTAAAATGCCTAAGAGAGAAAACTGTGTTGCAGTCAGCAAAATTGAAAGGAATGGGAGACATAAAGAACCATCAAATAAGCCCTTTGGCAACATCAGGCATACAGGCATACAGAATTTGAAGTTTTTCCTGCCGGGTTCTGATGGGAGATGCCATTCTGTAAATATGTTTCTCATACTGGTTAATGAATAAAGCACTGTTGGCCAATAGGAAAGGAAGATGGGACTAGGAGACAAGGAGGAAAGAGGGAGTAGTAAGGAGGAATCAAGATGGAGAGTCTGGAGAGAGCAGTACGCAGTATGGCAGCCGGCTCTCTGATAAGACCACGTGGAAAAATGTAGATTAACAGAAATGGGTTAATACTTAAGACAGAGCTAGCTGATAAGAAACTAGTACCTAGCCAACAGCATATCTCAAATACAGAGTCTCAAGTATGTTAATTGGGGCTGGCGAGGTGACAGAGGAAAAACTTTACTCCTTACAGGGTTCTACTTTTTTTTTTTTTTTTTTTTTTTTTTTGCTATGTCCCCTTTCTTCCCTTCTAGAATGATAATGTATAGTTTATGCCATTGTATATTAGAAGTAATTTTACAGGAGGTGACAATTAAAAGGCTAACTTAAATCTCAGGCTTTGATCTCTGAGAGTGCTGAAACTGAAAGATTACAGGAACTTCATTTTAATGTACATTGGTGTTCTACATGCATATATGTCTGTGTAAGGGTGTCAGACCCCTGGGACTGGATTACAGACAGAGCTGCCCTGTGCATGCTGGGTATTGAACCCAGGTCCTTTAGGAGAGCACCCAGTGCTCTCAACCATTGAGCCATCTCTCCAGCCCCCAGTGGGGGACTTTTTTTTTTTTTTTTTTTTTTTTGGTTTTTCAAAACAGGATTTCTCTGT